CCCCCCGTCCCCCCCCCCCCCCGCAAGTGCCCTTTTTTTTTTTTTTCTTTCTTAAAGCACACACAGCCGAACCAATTCCACGGTAAACCCCGTAGCACCTGCATACGCAGCCCTCGTCACGGGACCCTCTTCCCTCACGGTGGCAATGTGCCATGCGCTGCATGCGGCGACTGACATGACACGGTAGCCCGCCCGTCGCTCTGATAATGCAGCCTCTCCTCTCTGCGCACCTCTTTCGTCCCCATGGTAATTTGGGCAAGTCTTGTCCCGTCATCTCGGGTGCGTCATGCATCATCACTTTTGCCCACATGCACTCGTGGCGCGGGACGTTGATGCCCAAAAATGGAACACGGCCAATGGGCAATCCGCGCGGCTTCACCATTGGTCAATTGCCATATTCACACAGACGACCGGGCCTTGATACTTTGCGTGGGCAACGACAGGGCAGAGATGACTTGCGGAATTATGTACTCAGTAGCCTACGGCAAGGTCCTAAGAACTATGCTATGCGAGACAAAACGTTGGTGTTCGATACGGCTACTCGGTCAGTTTTTACCAATGAACAATACATCCTCAATTTTGCAGTATGCCAATCCCATCACCGAGTCCTCGCCCCTTAATTTGGCCAGCTGTCCGTCCAAACGTTTACCTGGACTTCGGGCAGCCATCCCAAGCGACTTGTTCTCCAGCTCCACTACGGCTGGATGTTCCAGCCCACCCAGGTCCGGGGGACAACTCTCCAAATCTTGACCTCACCACTCCTCAGGTCGTCCAGCTTGTAGCTCTCCATCTTTACCTTCTTGTTCTCCCGCCCTTGCTCCCATGCACGAACCTTCTTCTTTGTCCCGTCCCACTCAGCAACTACCGCGACGTGGTCCGGCTTGCCAACTTCTGTCGAGTATTTGGCGTGCATGGGTCCATGTTTGCCCTGAAACTTGGCATTGCGGAATGAAATGATATCTCCTGCTCGGATGACGTCTTGCTGTTGAGTAGATGCGTTGGCCATGTTGGCGTAGACTAGGGCACCGTATGAACGTGTACCAACAGGCGGGAGGGCACCACTCAGCGGTCGAAGTAGCTCCATGACAAACCCTTGAGGCGTCCCATCACTAACGACTGTGTCCTTTTTGGCCGTGGCAGCTTCCGAGATTTGCCTGCCATAACGTTCATAAAACTCCTCCATCTGGTCCTGGCGAAGGGATCGCGGGGGTGGCTCATGTCTTTGCTCCAGCTCTACATCTGACGGATCATAGGGGTCGTATCGGACGGTAACCACAGTCTGTGAATAATCTTGGAAGAGAACAAACACATCCCGCGTGATTACTGTCTTGGAGCCCTGATTAGTCGTAGTTGTCTCTTCGCTTTCAAAATGAATGTCTTTGCGTCCCTGGAAGACGGGTGGGACTTGATTCGCCTGTTTCCACCATCCACTTTGCACTGCAAGGTCAAGGTCGTTCGCAATGAAATCTGATTCAACAGAAGGCCGGTGCATATCCATGGATCTCCTGTTGCTTGTGCTTGTTCTTGGAATATCCATTGACTGTTTGTTGCTAGGCCGAGGCGGCGGTGCAGAAGGCGGTACTCGGCGTTCAGTGGGAGATGATGGTCCAGAGAAGTATACATTTTCTTCGTCAATCTTTGGTGTTTTATGGCCGTAGCTGGATCCCATTGATGGCGGCGGCGGCGGTGAAGAATAGTTATATGGATCATAATCCCCTGCGTCATGGACTGCAGTAGGAGCGGCCTCCTTTGGAGGCGGAGGTGGAGCTGCGCGAGGAACATCGACCGAGCGTCGCTTATGATCTAGAGGCGGTTGGCTAGGAATAGGAGGTGGGACAGCTCGAGGCGCTGCGGCAGATGGAATAGGAGGGGGGATATTAGGAGCGGTGTCTCGAGTTGGCGACGTAAGGGTGTTATCCTCCAAGCTTGAGTCTCGAGCGTGTGACTTCAGAGCATCCTTGTGGGGGACACTGGAAGCAATATCAGTATCATAGTCGCCGTCATATTCCGTAACCTCTTCATCCTCCTCCTCTCCAGCCTGTGGAGGGCGTGTTGGTGTGGGCGTAGGAATATCTGCTGTTGATTGCCGGCTCAAACCACCAGGCGGCGGAGGCGGCGGCGGCCGGCTCGAAGCTGGCGGAGGTGCCGGCGCCGATCCGGGAATTGGAGGTGGTGGTCGACTACTTCGCTTGCTAGCAACAGTTGTAGGAGATTGCCCCAAAGTGTCGTCTCCGCGAGGAGACTGCGGTGGCGATCTGGGGGGAGGAGCAGCCGGTGCCGGTGGCATTGGAGGTAGACGTCTGGTTTGAGTGCTGGTCTGCTCCAAGTCCTTTTCTCTTGCGCCTCCAGAAAGCTCATCATCTGATTCCGACCCTTCTGTAGGTGATTTGATGTCAGCTGGGGATGGCGGGGGTGGCGCCCGGGCTGGAAAACATTAGCACAGATGAACAAATAAGAGAAGTGTGAAAGTGGTAACACCTACACTCTGTAGGTACTGGAGGAGGTGCTGGTCGACCACCAGGAATAGGCGGAGGACCGCTCATATCTCGACGAGGTGCTGCACAATCGTTAGCTTTGCTGACCATAAAGCAGATGTTCATTCTACATACAAGACACCTCGGAAATGGGCGCCGGGGTCGTTGCCTCATCTTCTTCCTCATCACCAGAATCTGCTTGATGTTCCCGTGAAGGGACTGGAGGAGGCACAATTCTTGATTGAACTGGAGTGGCTTCATCACCATCAGCGTCCTCCTCCTCTTCGTCCGCTGGATGGCCTCGGCTGGGGGCGACAGCAGTGCCCATGCCGGGTAGGGCCATAGGAGTCGGGACCAGTGGTGCCGCGCGAGGAGCCGTTTCCTGAACATCTTCATCGGCTCCTGACGCTTCCGCAGTTTTGACTGTCTTCTTTTTAGGCGGAGCCTTGGCCATTGGTGGCATTGGAGCACCAAACATGCCATGGAAGCCCATGCCACCACTCATCTTTGCCATTCTAGCACGCAATTCTTCTTTACGCCTAACCTCAGGGTCGACTTCTTCTTCCTCTTCTTCCTCTTCAGCCTCCCCTTCTTCTTCATTTGCCTCCTCGATCTTGCGATGGAGTCCAGGTGCAGTCGCGGTAGATGCCGTTGGAACACGCTGAACATGTCGTAGCATCTCCTCATTATCTTCACGCTCGGTAGTATCATCATGGCCCTCGGTGGTGTCACCAGCACCAGACATATCGGCCTCGTTTCCATCATGCGACTCATTCGCTGTAAGAGCCTTGGAAGATCTGCGTCTTGGTAGAGGTGCTCTAGCATGGGTATCATCTGTCGAAGTTCTGGTTCTGGCTTCGGTTTCTCCAGATTCGACCCGTTCTAACGAAGTTGAAAGAGATCCTTCTTCGGCTTCTACATCTGCCTCACCCTGAGGGGCGGCTTCGGGCTTCTTCTTTACCGTCTTTTTTGGTTTCTCCTTCTTAGCAGCCGCATCGGCATGACGCTGGGCTTGTTCCATTTGCTGCTTCTGGAGCAAAGCGATGCGTTCCTTTAAGCTAGTAGGCTTAGGTTGGTCATCTTCGGCACCAACTTCTTGAGACTGTTCGCCCGGAACCAATCCGGCTACCTCTGCCTGGCCCAGAGCCTCGGCCTGCCTCTCCTTGATTTCGGGGTCTTCTTCGCGGCGATAGATGTTCGTGGTCGGCTTCTCTCGCGGAGGCGGTACGTATGCGTTGCGGCTAGGAGGCGGTGCGACAAAAGGCTTCTTCACAAATCCAGACGAGCCGCTACTTGCGCCTAAGCCACTAGGCTTGAATGGAGCGACAGGCGGCGCCGCCGGTTTATTGAACGCGGCGATACGATCTTTGAATGAGTTGCTCGACGGTTTTTCGGAAACCGGAGGACCGGATTTGGGTTTTGAAGCCGAAGCTTCAGCCTGTTTGGGGCCAGCTGATGGTGCTGTGGTAGCCTCGTGAGACTTCGCAAGAGCCGGTTCCGAATGCTTGGCTGTCACTGGCACTGGGACGATGGGGACAGAGCGCTCGGCCTCCACGGGTTCAGGTTCATGTTGGAGTTCTTCTTCCTTTTCGGGCTCCAGCTCTGGCTCATGAACTGGAGCAGGCGGCGGTGGTGCCGGAGCAGTAACATCCTCCGACATATGAGCTTCGGGTTCCTTTTTGGGACGTGATCTCGCCGGCCGGGGAGGGGCAGTAGGCTCGAACTTCTCAACAAAGTTGCGAGGGAAGATGCCCTCCTTTTTCACGCCATGGTCGTCAACGTATTCGCCCCCATACCAATCGTCATCTTCTTCTTCGTTGACAGTGATGATTTGGCCAACATCAAAGTTTAGATCATCTTCGTGAGGCGAGCTGTACTCATAGAGAGCCTTGACCCGGAACGGCACAGTCATGGCGGTGTAGGATATGTCCCGCGACACAGACGGCCCTGTGACACGTCTGCCGCGGCTAGATGAGACCGTTGATCAATATATAGCGATTTCTTGTTGTCGGATGTGGGGCGGCAATGCGATGAATGATGCGGAGAGTTGAGAGGGCTTTCGTCAGCTTGGAAGAAGCGGGGGGTATTACTGGGAAAGCGCTGTAAGCCCAGGCACGGACAAAGAAGGCAGTTATCATCCAACTGCCTCGGAGCAACGTATGTGTCGAGCACGGAGCTCCGGATGATGGTATTGGAGGATTGGGTGAAGAGGTGGCGGCTCAGAAAGACGAGCAAGAATATGACGCTGGGTCTGGGAGGAGGCGGACGTAGGCGGAGCAGACAGACAGAGGAGGCTGAGGCGGTTGCGCAGCGTCTATGAGAGTAACCGGTTGCCGGTCCACGAAAGCTTGGGCGTGATGCTGATGGCGGGCGGGTGTCGACGTCAGCGGGGGACCCTCTTACTGCTCTGACTAGGGAGTAAAATACGGAGTACAACTGCTCGAGAACATAAAGTTGGATGATTCAAGCAGCTTGGTCCGCAATGAATGATGGTGGAGTGGGGGAATCAGCAGCGAGCCACAGCAAGCCCACTGGTCGACTTGCTTGAACGGCCCTTGCTGCTGTCGTTTCGGGGTGGAGCTAAAGCTGAGCTGTCTGCCATCCAAGCTTGGGGTCGTCTCAAAGTCGTCGGACGCTGGAACGGTCGAGCTAGGACTAGGGCTTGATTTGGAGAAGCAACGGCTAAAAAAGCCTCGAGAGGTGGGAAGGCATGTGAGGCACTGAGTGTCTGACCATCTCAACTGCTTCTCACGTGGGAAATTAGACGCCCACCAGCATTCCTAGAGTGTTGACCGAGGACTGCGGAAGCAGGTGCGACCCTGAGACTTCAGGGATGCAAGAAGACGGTCACAATGCAATTATTATGCGCACCACCCGCGGCCTTTGCACGATCCAGATGGGGTCCCAATATCCTGGATGCCACCACAAAAACCCCGGAATTGACCCAACACGTCAGGTACTATTCCATCTGCTAAGCTAGAGGGCTTTCAATCTGTCAATTTTGGATGTGCCGATACTGCTTTGGCAATCAGTTCCTGGGCAAAGATGTACCTGGGGACTTACGTGTCGCCAAGCATAAAACAGTACAGCCCCTAGCCAACTACACAGGTCCTAGTAATGATGAAGCACCTAAGGCACATAGAAATATGGATATTTCAACAGTGTACGGAATGCCTTGGGGGAAATGCTGTCGCCTCCTGCAGTCAGGCAGACGTTCGTGTTGAGTCAAATTGGATATGCCACTGCGGCCATGGTTTTTTTAGTGGGGGTTTGCAAACCAGTCGACCACCACTCAAACTTCGTTCACACTTTGCGTTTGCTACGGAAACAGAAGACCGCTTCTGGCACTCACAAATGCTTCCTTTTCAGCGATACGAAAAATCCCATTGCTGAAAGACCTACGGCTGCTACCGACGGACAGAGCCCCTCCCCGAGAGCTCAAAGATGGACAGCGTCGAACAAAAGCAGAAACAGCTGAAGAGTATCCTCAAGAACTCAATATCAGAGGCCGGCGCAGCCGCACGATCCGAGACTGAAGCTAGAGAGATTGCCATTGCACACGCCAAACTCCTTCAGCATCGCAAAGAACTCGAGGCCGAGATCCTGGACAGCGTAGTGCTTCTATCCGAGTATCCACTGGTCAGAGCAGCGCCATATTCCGCGTCGAATCCTGCGCAGAGCGATGTGTCTGGGTTCAAGACGCACGTTCGTCTTTTCCAACCTTCGGATTATGATGATTTGATAGAGGAGCGCAATGTCAACGAGTTATGCGGGTATACTCTGTGCGCAAGACCTCGACGAAAGGTCGGCACCGGCGGAGAATGGAAGCTTACGGGCAGTGGCGATATTGTGAAGCGCAAGGACCTCGAGAAGTGGTGTTCCCCGACATGTGCGAAAAAGGCACTTTTCGTCAAAGTCCAGCTGAATGAGACGGCTGCCTGGGAGAGGGCAGGCATTCCAGATATACAAATCGACCTATTAGACGACGACAAATCTACAGAAACGGAGGCAGATAGAACTGCACGCCAACTGGGAGAGCTGAAGCTCGAGGAGCAACGCCAAGCTGCTAGGGATGCAAAAACTCTTGCTCTAGAGAGAGGTGAGCGTGGAATAGATAACAGTGCCGATATAATTAAGGTCGAGCTCAAGGAGAAGGAGACCAAAGTTCCTAGTTCAGAGGACATTTCGACACAGGCTGCCGACGACCACTTAAGGGTTGAGGGCCACAAGTTTGACCTGCCGAGTAGGCCAAAGGCGTAGACCTTGACACATGTCGCCTAAGTCTTTGGGATTGAACAGTACGCTACACGAGACGGCAAAATGGGGCATCTAGATGGGTGGCGTTTATGTAGGCTTTGATGTTGAAGTTCAGTCAATAGATGGACTTTATACCCTCCTCCCCGAGAACGACAAGTGCTTGTCGCAAACAAGGGAACCAAATGTAACCGTCCAAGCCAAATGCCACACTGGCATTGACTCAATATTGATGATGCAGCTCGGCTAGACATCACACCAGCAATTCACGGGCAAATATGAGAGACCGAAGTCTTGGCGATCAAGCATCCCACTCCGGACATTCACGTCCAGAGGTTCAGCGACACCTTGTGGGGATTGAAGATCTTTCATTTGAGATCTATGCACTCACTACCGTCCTTAGACGCCACGACGCAAAAACCATGCCAAATGCCCAAGAACCAATTGCCCACAATCATGAAAAACTTTTCTAACCCTTTTAGTCGCGGCGAGGACGGTCGCCGAATCGTCGGGGGCCACGCTCGTTGGGGTTGTTCTGGGTGACCTGGGTGACGTTGACGGGAATAGAGTCGAACTGAAAATGACTTGTTAGCACTAGAATTTGTATATTGAAGAGCCGGGGAAGAAACATACGCCAAGGTGCTTGAGGAGGTCCTTGGTCTCTGAGTCGATCTCGAGCTGGCCCGACTCGTTCTGGGTGTAGTCGAGAGCAGAGACCTCAGGGACGTACTGATCCTTTCGCTCACGCTCCTCTTCCTGGAGCTTGAAGGAGATACCACGCACAGGACCACGCTGAATACGCTTCATCAAGTGGGTTGTGTAGCCGGCAATCTAGTCGTCGCCAGTTAGTATCGCCATCTTTTATAATTCTCATACTAGCCGTAGCTAGTCTTCCTCAACTCTACTTGATTCCTTTCGAATGCGGAGGATACGATGGTTCGTGCTGACCTTGTTGCGGAGGCGCTTGGAGGCAATGACAGCGATCTCATCGCAGATGCGCTTGTTGGTCTCAAAGTCGAGAGTGAGCTTGGGGTAGTACCGCTCAATGATGACCTTGGCGGACTTCTTCACGGTCTTGGTACGAACGCGACCCATTTTGGCGGTATTGAGTTGGCTGGTATGGTCGTTGGGCGTGGGTTGAAGAAGAGTCGGCTCCTCAAAATCTCCAAATTGAGCGATAGAAATTTGGTGGTTTAGGCTAGTGGTGGGGCGCACAGAGAATTAGGGCTCGTGGGGGGACTGTGCGTGATCCCCCACGTGATAGATTACACAATTTGATTATGCAAGTATCCCTTGTGCTGCAAGGTCGTTTGCTCCATCAACGGTGCATGCCTGAGCTGGCGACTTTGCCATTTTCTAATCAGTATGTGCATCCCCTCAGAGCAGTTAAGGCTCCAACGAGGCCACGGGACAAGGATTATAGCCAATTAAAAGCCCACATTTTAGGGGTACATGGATTTCCCCAGTAATTTACACTATAATTAAAGTACTAATATTCCTTTAAGTTATAAAGGGCTACATTAGAAGTCTCGCAGC